CCAATCACATTTAATTAAATTTACTTAGTGAAATCCTTTTGAGGAAAAAAATGGGATGTATAATTTAAAGAATTATGATACTTTTACAGTGTAATTTTTTTATTTCTACCCTAGAATTTGGAATTTTTTAAAAAAATTCACATTACTTTCACCCTCTGAAAATTCCTTAATTAAAAACTGTTTCCTGAATGGTAAATGAGGGTATATGAAGTAATCTTATGATAGTCATTTTCTGCATAGATTTTTTTCTTACAGATGTTAAAATTGATAATAGATAGTAACTTTTACCTTTTATCTTTCATGCAATTAAAATACTTTTCAATGAAAATTGCAAATGAAATTATTTGACATATTACAGTAAAGTTAAGATGCTTTTTGTATTTTTTGATTAAAGATAACTAATGCTCTTCCTTTAAGAGTTGTTTTTCTTATATACGTAGAAGCCATCTAAAAGTTTGGTAATATATTCAGAGTGATATCACTCACCAAATACATCATTATCAGAATAAATAAGAACACTTATTTTGTGTTCTCTTTCTATCCTTGACTCAAAGAACTGATGATGAGGAAAATGATTTTTTAATTTCTCATGTTTTTAAAGGTATAGGAGTCTCTTAATGAAGTATACTGTCAATCTTTGTAGATATAATTTCAAATTTGTTAATCAATAATATTGGCTATTCCAAGAACTACACTGATAAGAAACTCACTTGTTGAAAGTAAAGCTTGAAACTTGACTACATTAAGGTTTCTAAAACATAATAACAATAATATTATTGTTTTTACAACAATATTGTTTTTCTGTTTGAATACGATACCACTGATAGTAATTGCTATCTCTGTGCACACTGTAGCTGAAAAGACTTGTGTACAGTCAATAGTTCCATTCAGTGTCCATGGCAAGATATTTTTATAGCTAAGAACTCTGAAACTTTTTCTCAAGTTGTAAATAATTCTGAATTTACATTAAAGAATGAAAAATAATGATTAGATTAAGTATCTAAACTCAGAAGTAGTTATCTCTTCTGAAAAGTTAAACTGATCTTTTTACAATATTGCTTGCTTGTTTTGGAAATTAACATTTTATACCAGAATAAGGGGAATGTGTGATTATTAAACACACTGAAAGTACCTTTAAGTTCTTTGTGTACTGTTTTACAATAACACAAGCACAGTCATACTGACAACTATCTATATCCTAATGATTTTCAAATTAAGGAATGGCTTCAAATTAGGAAAGCTTTTTGTTCACCTAGCTTTGGAATAGCATGATGTACACTAATTGCTAACTTTGTTGCATTATTTTTTAAAGATCAAATGGGCACAGTGGTAATTTTCATTAATCTCATACAGAGCAGCTAATTAAAATTTCCATTATTATCCATCCATTATCTAGTTGTTTCCTTTGTTCAGTATCAGAACAGGGTTTTAGTAATAAGCCATTCTTGTGTTACAGCCCTATTAAATATGGTGAGATTTAGTTTAATCTGTTGTACTGTTTTGTTTTTAGGTGATTTCTTGAATATTATGCTGCACCATATTGATTATACTGAGGTTACATCGACACTTTGACATTCTGTAATAGAGATTTCGGAATTAAATACTTGTTGCTTCAATTTTTTTAATTCAGTATTGGGGGAAAGTAGCATATAGTGGATAAAAGAATGACCTGCAGATCAGAGTGCATGTGTTTTAGTCCTGCCACCTCATTAATTATGTGAACTTGATGATGATCTGAATTCTTTATTATTATAATGCAATATTAGAAGAGCTGATCTTGAAGGGCCAGTCTGGCCTTAATGTGCAGTCATGTTTTCATAATTTCCCAATGTGGACTTCTGTTAAAACTCTAAAGTCTTTCTAAACTTATAATGACAGAGTATCCTAAATTGTGTAATTTAAACAAGTTTCTAAGTCTTCGTGGTGGTGGTAAGGATAAACTCCAAGGTGATGGGCTGGCCCAATTCTCCATAAACACTGTCTCAAATGTGACCATATGCCTAATTAAATCAACCCAATAGAAAGTCAGTTAGAAAAAAGGAACTGACATTTTCTGTGTCTGTGAGAGTGTATGTATGTACACACACACACACACACACACACACACACACACACACACACACACACA